TTAGATGAGTTATTCTTAGAGGGGTTTGGAGGGCTAAGTCTTATCTCTTAAATCTTAGTGTAGATTTGAGACTTCATAAAAGTTGAAAGAATAATATAATTATGTGATTATATAGCATCTGAATCGTCATTTAGCTGTCTTTAGAAACATTCTATTTATCAAGACGAGATGTATACTAAGCCTTTCAAAGCCTTCAAAACCCCTCCATCGAAACCGACCCCTAGAGTACTCTCTTGATCACAGCTTACTGTTGGCAATGGTTTAGCTCACTCCTGCATTTGGCTGTATGGTGTTTTGTTATGTGACATCAATGATGTTTAAAACTGAATTTACTGTAGTTGAACTGTACTATTAATACTGAGTTAGCATTCTACTTTAAGATGATGCATTCTACTATTGATGCATTCAAAACTGAGGGTGTGGACGGGAGGGGTGTTCTGGATGGAAAAGTAAGGGAAAGTTTATTTTTCATTTTATGAAAATATTGCTGTAAGATGATTCTTTTTCGAAACAAGTGATATAAAATGATAAATTAGTGTAAACTTGTGCTAGTCATCATTTTTTTGTACCTTAAACCATATAAATTCTCTTAAATCAGAAATACCCAACAACCCCTGCCCTCCCACTTCCCCAGAAAAATTAATATCCCTTCCTAAAACATACTCTAACTTTCCTCCGTATTGTAATGATGTCAACTATTCTATGTGCAGGTACGTTCTCCTTGTCTTGGAGACAAGTTTTCCAGTATGCATGGGCAGAAGGGTGTTCTGGGTTTTCTGGAATCTCAGGAGAACTTCCCCTTTACAGTGCAAGGGGTAGTTCCTGACATAGTTATAAACCCACACGCGTTCCCTTCACGTCAAACACCAGGCCAACTTCTTGAAGCTGCCTTGGGAAAGGTCATTGCGTTGGGAAAGCACATTGGCCATCGATCAGATCTTAAATATGCAACTCCATTCTCCACTCCCTCTGTTGATGAAATAACAAAGAACCTTCATAGGTAAAATGAGTGGCTCTAAGTGAAGAACTCTGCCTTTTTATCCATATCTGAATAAGTGTCACACTTCAGCATTGCACCTAATATGAAGTCACTTTTCTCCTTAAAAAAACTAAATGCAACATAATTCAATGTAAGATAAATATGAAGTCACTTTTCGCCTCTAATTGACTGCTATATCTTTCCTAACTCTCATAATTAAGTTAGGTGAATAAGGGTTGACATGGAATGAAATCAATTTATCTTTCTTCATTTATTCCTTTGAAACATCCTACCTGCTTGTACTGATATTTTCCGTGATGTGTATGGTTATGTTAAAATATGAGTTTTGCAATGGGACATGAAGTATTTACTGATATTTGCTTCATGATATTATGTGCGCAAGTAAGAAAAGTTAAAAAACCTGTGATGATAAATGTTTTTTGTAATTGCATTTGACTATGCCTTCAGAAAAAATTGCCAGTTTCTTAAATATATTTATACAACACATTCACACTTTGACATACACTTCATGCCACCAATTCAAAGATGGTTGGAGGATTTTGGAGGGGAGTGAACTGATGATACCTATTGTACTCCCTCTGTCCCACAAAACTTTGCTTAAGTTCCGTATCAAACATCCCAAAAATCTTTGCCATTTCCATTTAAAGGAATAAATACTCCGTATGTGGTTGGAGTTATTTCTCTCCTTTGCACAAATTTCAACCACACAATTTTAACCTTATTATTCTACGTGCAAGTCAAATTTGGCCAACTTTTGTGTGGAGGGAGTATAATTTACTCTACATTTGTTGTTCGGAAGGGAAGTGCATGTGGGAAATGATTTAAAAAATACAATGCTTGTTAACTAAGGAGATATTTCTCATGTGCTGGAATAGTGTAATAACTAATAACACTTGCAACAGTGATAATATTAGGCATGGAGCCGGGTCGGTCCCAGTCCCGTGACTGGCCGGCCCCTGGTCCCGGTTCTAAATAATTGAAGCCCGGTACCGACCCGGTTTGGTCCAGTACCGGTTTTGGTCTGGGTCCAAACAGTACCGGGCCCGGGACCAGCTAGTCCGGTCCCAAATATCAGGGCCAAGCCTGTCCCGTTTCTATGCCGGCCCGGTACTGGCCGGTACCGGTCCGGAAAACCAGTCTTGGGGCGTTCCAAACAGTACCGGTCCCGGGTCGGGCTGCCCAGACCCAGTCCATCCCTAGATAATATATTAGTAAAACATATACTCTCCCGTATTCCCCATACGCCTTTTTTGTCATTTTCACTTTTAGCTCTCGACTCACTTTTTCTAATTTGGTGCACGAGAATTTCTCGTCACTTTTAGTCATTTTAATTGCTTAACCAGCCATTTTTTTTTAATTTTTCGGGACAAATGATTGCAGATAAAAAATAAAGTCAGTGGACCAAAAAGAGGATAGGTTTTGTGGAGTCGTGGTTAAACTTATTTTGGTTGGTTTTGCAGTCTTGGGTTCTCAAAATGGGGAACTGAGAGAGTGTACAATGGGCGAACCGGCGAAATGATCCATTCCTTGGTTTTCATGGGCCCAACATTCTACCAACGGCTTACACACATGGCAGAGGATAAAGTGAAGTTTCGGAACACCGGGCCAGTTCACCCCCTAACCAGGCAGCCCGTAGCTGACCGGAAACGATTCGGAGGGATCAAATTCGGGGAGATGGAACGAGACTGCCTCATCGCCCATGGGGCCGCTGCTAACCTGCATGAGCGGCTCTTCACGCTCAGTGATTCTTCCCAGATGCACATATGCAGGAAGTGCAAGAACATGGCGAACGTGATTCAACGCCCTGTTCTTGGTGGCCGTAAGATTAGGGGTCCCTATTGCAGGTTCTGTGAGACCGTGGAGGATATCGTGAAGGTGAATGTGCCTTATGGGGCTAAGCTGTTGTGTCAGGAGCTCTTCAGTATGGGGTTATCCTTGAAATTTGATACTGATGTGTGCTAAGCCAAGCGTCTATAGGGCAAAGGCTTCAGCCAGGATGAGTAGGGGAACAAGTTGATGGAAGATGGTTAGTTTTTATGTTTTAGGCTGCTAATGCTCCTTTTATCAACACTCTTATTTGGAACTTATATGTATCCTTATGGTAACTTTTGTACAACCTTTTGATCCTTGATAAAATTGACCAGACCATGAACATGACGGTTTGTGTAAGGTCGTCTCTTAGGGGTGGACCCGGTCTGGCGGTTTGGCCCGGTCCAGAAATGGGTCTGACACTGTTTGAGACTGGATCGGGTCAGGAAATTTCGGTTTTGGGACCGAACCTGTCCGCCCTAGAGTGGTTCACGGTCCTGGTTTATAGTTTTGGGGACCAAACCGGGCGGTCCGGTCACGGTTTCGGTCCTGACCTTTTTTTGGCTTCAAACCAGGCTAAAAATTAAAGAAAATTAATGGGAACCAGGACTTGGGTACCCGAAACCAGCCCATACCTGGAAAAAAGCAAGTTGGACCCAGGTCAGAGCATTTGTTTTAGACCCGGCAGTAGGGATGGACCGGTTCCGGTCTGCCCGGCCCGGGAACCGGCCCGACCCGTCACTGTGCGGGCCCGGGCCACCTAGGACCCTAATCCCTCCACCAATTATTGTTCTGACTTGGAATAGCTTGATCGATTCTAGTCCTGATTATAAAATGGTTGATTCGCCATCTAAGACCCTAAGGCCTAAACCCTCCCTCAATTGTGACTCCTACCCAGAACCGTGAGAGCGGATTAAAAACCGGCCATTATTGAAACTGTGTGCTCCTTTACAAAGGAATGCTTACTTCCGAAGTTCCCCTTGATGACTTCAATACCCAAGAGGATCAAAAGGTTGCCAGGCATCTTTTTAAACTCCACTCATCTCATATTGCCTACACTTTTTGAGTCTGGTATGAATGTTTGCAGTCTAGTCTAAATATTTCTAATTTTATTGTTTGAAACATAACATTTGGTCTAGATTTATCTGATATGCTGTGATTTTTTCTAATCTAGTATAATTAGATCAAAAAATACTACCTTTGTATACCATTCACCCACTGGAAGGAAGGCATCGACAAGGGGAAAAGAAAGAAGACAATGCCGACGAGAAAATAATGGAGGTATAGAGGGGAAAATCTTTTTTTAAGTTGGTATAATTTTTTATTTGTATTTCGATTGTTATAATTTTCGCCTATTGGATTTAAATGTTAAAATTTAGATCTCACGGTTAATTTCTTTATGATCTTCTGGTCCGAATATAGTTATTCATGTAACTTACATTGTATAAAAATTACATCGAGATTCGAAAAATAAATTGGTTATCTATTTTTAATTTTTTACATCATGTTGATTGATTTTTTTTAATCATATTTATTCATAAAAAATATTGACAAAAACTCAGAATTTAATTAAAATAAACTGTACCGAGTGAACTTATTAAGGGTGGTGAATTGCAAAAACTTAAATGATGGGGTCAATATTGGTTGAAAATTTAGTTTATTGACGGTACATGATTGTGACCCACTGAAAGGATGAAATCAATAAATGTCCAGACTTGTGAGTTCGTTAATATCTGATGTAAAATTACTAATAAAGGATTTTTTCTTAAACATTACTAATAATAAGTCATTGACAAAAATATTACTTAGTAATCTACATGTAAGTTTTACTAAGATGTAAACCGTGAATACAATTATAGTCACTAATAGTTATTAAGTAATATTTTTGTCCATCACATTTTAAAGACTAATATTAACGGAATATTTTTATCCACCACATTTTAAAGACTAATATTAACGGAATTTACCCTAACACATAATTCAAATTTCACCCAAAATCTGAGAGGAATTTTCAATGCAAATAATAGCTGTCTTTCAAATTACATTTTAAGAAGTAACAACTTGATCACCAATTTTTTTGACAAGCAAATCCCACCAACACGTTCAATATAGGAGTTTGTGATTCTTATTATCAAGATGCGATAATTTATATTAGTCACATAATCATTATCTTTTTTTGGATATTTATAACCTGCTACAGAATTTAAGCTCAATGCATGAATATATATGGACATTAGGCCTCTTTATCTTGTACTCCGTAATTTTTTCTATTCCATGATAAAGCTAATGAAATGATACAACAATATTTAAAATGTCACATTCTTGAGAACTAAGACCGTTAATTACCTAAATAATGAGGTCTTTTCGCTATCCGTAAATGAAAGATAAGGATGATAAAAGGATAAAGGGATCTCCCCGGTGCACTATGAGGGATTGGGATCCTGTGCCCTGTGCTCTCGAGAATCGAGATCTGGACCTCGAAATCTCATGCTGTTGAAGTTTTGATCAGACGGTTCTCAAATGCCGTGTAGTATGCCTTGCTCAAAAGCAAGGCAGAGGCTCAAGATCCATACTAGAGTGCTCGATATTGTAAATATATTTGAAAAAATATAATGTTTAACTCGTTTTTCACCTTTTGTTGTATCTTTAACGTAACTCGTGTGAAAAAATAGCTAACAAAATTTCATCCTGGAAACATATTCCACAAAAAAACTATCATACAATAAAAAATATAGTGGTAGATCAAAGACAGGGAAAAAAAATAAGTTAAGGGAAATTCAAGAATCAAGAAGCTGATGAACTACCAGCCATAAACTCCTGCTCCAGAATTGTGTTACGTTGGAATAGTTCTAATAATGTCGATCAGTTGCACTGTGAGCTCTAACATGCCCAAGTCCAACCATGGAAACCTGCAAAGCTTCCTCTTCATAAGCCCTCCTTATCAAGTCCTCTTTTCTCGCCTTGTTTTTCGCCTTCACGAAAATGGCAACCAGAAGCAACCCAATGAGGAAAGCGCCTAATGCAACCCCAACAGAGCTCCCAATCACCATCCTCCATCTCCTCACCTTCTTATCCTTCAATGGCATCAACGGCGACTCGATCACGAGCCCGAAATGACCCATTTGTTGAGCCACGCATACGCTGCCGTGGTCTCCCAACACCATATTCGCTAACTTCACCTTACCATCGTGCCCGAAGATGGCGCACAAGGGTATGGTTTCGGGAGGCGATCCCGTCAACGGTGTGTAACTGAAGTCAATGGTGATCGGTTGTTTCTCGTGCACCATTTGAATAATTTCGACCTGAAACGTTGTACGAGAGTTATCGTTATTGTTAACGTTGTCGTTGTCATCGGTCGCGTTGTACGCGAGCAATCCTAATATAGGAGAAATGAGGGTATACCCTGACAAGTCAAAGTTGTCATAGTATATGTTTGACCATTTGGGTCCAAGCATTTGCCTCACTAAGAGCAGCCGCTTTGAGCAACGCTGGAACGTCGAACCGGGTGAGATTTGGAACTCCTTCACGTGGGCGCCATACCTTCCGAGGCTGTCGCATCGGAACCGGACGGAATCAACAACAATATCTGTGAAGTTAGCGGGGAGGCGTATAGGGTGGAGTTTCCCGGTTTTGAAGGGCCTGTGGTGGTAGGACTGGAAGGTATAGTCCCTGATGAGAAGATCAAGAAGGCGGGGGGATGATCTTATGGGTTGACATTTTGTGGAAGGGAAGGAAAGAAATAGTAGTAGAGTTAGTGAAAGAAGTAGAGAGGGCATTTTCCTAAGCTGTAGTATCAAATACTCCTAGGGACAAGATTGCTTTGTATGCGTAGCAGGCTTTGTGGATTGGGATAAAGGGGAAAGTTTAGGATTAATCAGGAGATGTGCAACAGAGTAAAGAGTACTTTACTGTAGAAGGTGTGGTGGTGGTGGAAAAAAGCAAATCCCATGTTTCTTTTTAGTGTCATAGACTCATACCTCTTCTCATTTATTTCAAACAATAAACTCAACTTAGTCAACCTTTGAATTAAAGCTGGAATTGTACGGTGACATTTTGAACTGCAATATGCATTAGTAAAGATGCAACGTTTTCACAATAAACACAATTTGTATCTGATCAACTCTCTGTTTAATGTATAGTTTATTTAATAAAGTATTGAATACAACCAAACCTTTAAATACTTTTGTAAATTATTACTCCCTCTGTCCCGAATTGAATTGCAAACTTTGACCGGTACAAGGATTAAGAAATAACAATAAATGATGCTTGTTTTTTACACTTTTGCTCATCTTTCTAAAAGTAGATGTCTTTAAGTTAATGGGGAAAAAGTAAAAGTAAGGGTAAATTTGTCACTTTATTCTTATTTACATACCTAAAATAGAAAGTGGAAAACCATTTTGGACAACCAAAAAAGGAAATTTTGCAAATCAAATTGGGACGGAGGGAGTACAAATTTAATTGATAACACCCAAATGCTCAAAGGTTTGTATAGTTGTTAGACGCTATATTTGAATGAAAAAAATAAACAGTCGGTCACTTAATGAAGTTTTTAGAGGTTTTAACGATGACATTGATTTTTTTTTGTTTTGCAAAGCTTCATAACCTATTATAGTGTTTCTTCTATGTTAAGATCAACATTCTTGAACTGGAACGGGGTTTGAACTTGTGATCTCTTCCTTGAGAGTGTCACATTGTTAACATCAAATTACAAGAAGGCACTTGGCACATTCAAAATCTTAAACTCTGAAAATTAATATCCAAATTGAAATGTCATCTCTTAGACCGGTCATAAGAATGGAACATGTAGTTGTTGAATTCTCAAAAGCTGACCAAATGGTATATGATTAATTTCATGGACACATAATAATTTTGTTTAGTACGCATGCGGGAATTAACATGACTGAATGTAACATTCCATAATCATGATGTGGGAATAATGTTTCATCTCTCCAAATTAAATGAATCGGCCGGCTAGTTATAATTTTGGATTTGCAAACTTTTAATCTTGACATCTCTCTTAACATTCTATTAACTTTAACACCCATTAATTATATGTTTTGCGCGCTTGAAAATATCTCACGCCGTTGAGACTGCTATACGCATCGCAGCGGCCGCTATCGAGATGACCGCTACCGCTACCACTGCCGCTACGGCTATTTAAAACCCTGCTTGGGATTGCCACTGGTGTAATAGGGATTGGCCTGAGAATGTCATTTTTGGACCAATGCCATGATTGAATTGTTAGATCCTTATCAAGCACCGTTCAGATGGGTAAACTTAATACTGAATAGGTCATTATAATTATGTGGTCTGCTTCACAATATACACTCCAGAGTAAGGAAATAGCAAGGAAATGCAATAATAATGATACTTTAATAATTTAAACAATTCATCACATATGAACTACTCCAGCATGTGATGAGTTGATCGGCTATAAATTACTCCCCAAACAGCAATCAGAAGTGCAAGTACTGCTCCGGTTAGAAAAGGATTGTTCTTGATGAATATTTGTGTCCTAGAATTCATCCCCTGAAATGTTTATTCAATAATCAAGAATTAATAAACATAATAACTAGCTAAGCAAGAAAATAAAATACTCCCTCCGTTTCACGATCTTTGACACACTTTCCTTTTTTGGCTGTTTCACAATCAATGACACACTTCCTTATTTCCTTATTTGGTAAACAAATCTTTACCAAAACAGTGCAAAACAGTGTCAAACAGTGTTCAAACAGTGCCAAACAGTGCCAAACAGTGTACTCTACAGTAAAATTTACCCCTCAGTAACATTTTTTTCTTATTTCTTGACAAGTCAAACTGTGTCAAAGATTGTGAAACGGATGGAGTAATTAAAATAATAACGACTATAAGGATGCTTTTACTTGGACTTGTTTCAAACCAATTTAGAGACCAAGTAAAAACATCCCAAGTCTATAACTATAGACAAGATTGATAGAAGAGATCATTGGATTATTGACATTGACTTATGGGACATATATGTTGAAAGATGTTTGAAGCACATATAGCTTCTCAAAGTTGTACCTCAATAGCGCAATTGGCATTTTTTCTTGCTTCAACCATGACACCTTTCATCATCTCTGTGGATGTAATATGTGTTATCAATGTTTTAGACGGCTGAACCTGCACTAATGCCATTACATTGTAAGCAATTCTCTAGGAAATTAATACAAACAATTAACTTACATCCATCTTTAAGTCCACCAATATATGTGTAACAGATGCATAAAAGTGTAGAATTAGTGTATAACCTCTAAAGGTGCGGTTTGATGATGGTACGCCATCAGACGAGTAACCTTTCTTTCAGCATTAGTTTTTGAAGCTTGGAACCGCTAGATATTATAACAGTAGAAAAATGTCATTATTCATTAATTAACAATGTCATACTTGGTGAATACTTAAACAGATGCAATTTGAAGGACAATTTGCATGAATAGATGAGCGCAAATAATAGAAATTCATTCCTTTGGAACTAGCGAAGAGGCTACACCCAAATAAATAAGGTTTTATGGTGACAACTCCGGTACCTTTTTAAAAAATGGGGTACCGTACCTATCATTCATTTGATTGGACCACATCACTTTATCATTTTTAATTTAGATTTAAATAATTCAACTGCTACATTCTCATTGGTCCATGTGGACAAAAGTATGGTACCTTATGGGTACCATAGAATCTACCAATAAATAAAGGTGTGGGATTTTAGAATCCGAAATCGAAGAATCGGATAGAATGGAATCGTCAAGGAACTGTTGGGTTATAAGCTTTTTACGGTTCAATTCCTAACTCTTATTAACGATTCGATTCCCGATTCCTAATAGAGGTATGTTAGTGAAAACGCTAGAGAACCATTATGTGATAAATTTGCATTTACTTTTGTATATATTATTAATGTTAATATTAATGTTAATTTTAATACAATCAATGTTAATGTTTATATTTATGATTATGTTTATATATGTAATATATAGCAGAGCAAAAACATCATTGTTGATGTGGATACATTTCTTAATCACATGACTAGATTTATAAATAAGTAAATCACATGATTAAAAATGGACACATGCCTAAATTACAATTTTCTCTTTTCTTGAGACATTCTTGGGTTTTGCCTTTTGGAAAGATGTTTTGACATTTTCTGTTTGTTTTGTTACACCAAGATGTCACTCAAAAAGGATAGAAATACACCTATCTCTGGATTATTCAAGAAAAATAAGCATGATAATTGATAAATGACAATAGAATAATGGCGTTAAGAAGAAGTTTATAGTCGTACTAAAATTTAACTTACATTGAGTTATGGCACAGATATACATATACTCCGTAAGTTTTTGTAGCATACATAGCTAAAACTGGTCAACGGGTATGTAGTAGAGTCCGTATATTATAAATTCGATTGTACGGTGATCGAACACCGTACAATCATGTAATTTTGTAATATTTTCTAGTTTGGAGCCTATTTAATACCTTTCTTGCTAACCCAAAAATTCTATGTTAACTAATGTTCATCCTGCATATTCAATCCTTCATCCTCAACTGATGCACACTAATTAGTAGTGCATCATAGTTACATGTTTTTATATTTGATTTATGTTGATTGTTTGACGTTTTATTTAGTTTGTAAACATTTATGTGATTTCAGTTGTAATTGTATTTTAGTATTTATTTATAAGTTGTAAAGTATAGTTAGGATTTGTGGTGTTGGAAAGGAAGACTTTGAAGAGAAGAAAACAAGAAATTTGACTGCCCAGGAGTAAAACCCGACCGGGTAGAAACCCCCACCCGGTCGGGTATGATTTAACAGACGAAATTGCCAAGAAAATCATTGGACCCGGTCGGGTCCCCTACTTGACCCGGTCGGGTCAGATGTGACACGGGACAAAACAACGTGTGAAGATCACCAGAACGTGGCGGATTGTCTGATTTTGACCAGACCCGGTCGGGTAAGTACTTGACCCGGTCGGGTACCCGGCCAAAGGTGTTGAAAAATACCTATAAATAGCACACTTTTTCTTCTCTAAAAATCATCCCTTCTTCCATACTCTTAAGCTCAGTTTAGAATAGCATTTCTTTATATTTTTCTAGCTATGTTTAGTCTCCAAATGAGGAGCTAAACTTCCATTCTTGGTGTTGCTCTTGAAGCTTGTTGATTATTAAAGTTGTGAGTTATTTTCTTAACTTCTTTCCTTGAATATTAATTAATAGTTCTTTCCTTAATACCATCTCTATATTAATGTTGGGGAGTGTTGCTAAGATGACAATTAGTTAACATCTCGACATTAGTTAGAATGATATTTTCTTTCTCTATATTAATATTGGGGAGTGTTGCTAATTAAGATGACAATTAGTTAACATCTTGATATTAATTATAGTAGGATTCATCTTCTTTAATAATATTCTTCCTTGAATATTAATTAATCCCTACTCATATTTCATATTAATATTTTGAACATTACTTAAAGGATCAACTAGTTTTGTTTCATATATTAATTATTACTAGAAACGATCAACGAACCGATGGTTAATCGTTGATGGTTTCACAAGTAAGTAACTTCGGTTTATTAATGCACGGTCGTGGTTAATAAACTTAAGAGGGATTAATTTTGTTGGTTAAACCGAAATCGTTGTGTTGAGGTTATCAATCTCAGTTGATTTCATCAAGGAGTTAGAAAGATTAAATGCTACTATTAAATCGGTATAAGGCGTTGTTCTATATTTGATTAATAGTAAGGATTATTAATGAATGGTTGTTGTTAATAACTACCCTCGATGAAGTGGATATACTCCCCGATTGAGTATTCGAGAGGGAATAAGTTATAGATATAACAATGATCGACTAAAATATATCATCAAGTGGAAAGTAGCAATGCCAAGTCCTTTTTATCTTTGAATTAAACACATATAGGTTGTTCATCTTAGTTCTTAATTAAATTAAATCATTCAAACCCAAACCCCCCCTTTTTATTCATTAAAGTTCATAAAAAGAGAATTATTTCCTTTCCTTGTGGATACGAACTCTACTTCACCTATACTACGTATAAGTGTTTAGTATTGAATTTATTTTGACGCACCGTGACAAAGTGCTCGTCATCAACTCTCCTTCTTTTCCTTTTTCTTTTATATCTACAATTCCTAGATTATATGGAATATATAAAATTGAACCTTTCCAATTCCAAAAATTCTTAAAAGAGATACAATTTGATTTGAAACATCTATCTTCCTCACTTATTAGTAATGCTTTAATTTTTCTATATTGACTCATAGTATGAATGCACACCAACTGCTCAGAAAAATTTCAAAGTGAATGTTAATATATTTTTTAATGGAATATTTTATTATTTGTTCCACTTATATAAAATGTTCACTTTTAGATGTTTTTCATAATAGGTCTTGTTATGCTTAGATTTTTCTAACTTTATTCTACTTCCAAAATTTCAAAAAATGTTAGATGTTTTTAATTATGCACTGAATTTTATTTTTAAAGAACTTGTAAAAATGGCTGAGATATATTTTTCCAATGATTTAATTTTTTCTATAAAAAATTAGTAAACATATATAGCTACTTTTATTAATTTAAAGTGTAATGTGTTTAATTATTATGTGTGTAATATTGGAATGAGTATTTTGTTACTTTAAAGTGAGTATGATATGATGTGTAAAATAGATGTGCACATATAAGAGTAACATTGTAAAATAAGCATAATATATATTTTAATTATAGAATAAATATTTAATATGATCTATATATTTCTCATTGCTAAATTTACCGAGAGGTCAGCAAATGAATGTAATTATACTAAGTTGGTTTTTATCAATATAATTAGATTTCTGAATTATGAAAATGAGTTTTATAATATACTTATATAATAAATGAGTACATAAATGATTTCGGACAAGTATGTCGTATAAAACATATACAACAATATCCATTATTTTTTTTTAAACGAGTACAAGTAGCGAATGAGAATATGATACTTATGAAATAAGCATTGATATAACATTTTAAAATGAGCATAACACACATATCAAAGAGCATAAATTACTTAAGAAATGAGCATTGATAAACTCAAAATATGAACATATATGTCAGGATCTCCAAAACTCATTTAATATATTCATTATTGTATGCTTATTTAAAATCTTTGTTGTGCTCATTTTTTAAAGACACCAATGTTCATTTGTTTTAAACCTTATACTCATTTGATTATAGCATAAAACTCATTTCTATGATCCACACATGTAATATATTCATTACAATCATTTAACATAATTAGATCTGTTTACTTAATTATTGGTATATTTAGTAATGAAAATATAACAATTTTATTTAAAAAAATCATTTATAGTTTGTCAGTCCTGATTTACTAATCATATTTTGCTTGGACATTTATTTTAAGCACATATTCATTATTGTATAGAAAAAAACTCATTTCAGTAGTTCACACGTACTAGAATCATTCTGGTCAATTAATAGAATTAGCCGTATTTACTACTATGTTATGGATATATAAAATATTTTGAAAAGAATACATCAACCAACCCAATGTTAACTTCTTTTAATGCACGTTCGTTTTAAACGTTTTACTCGCTTAAGTACAACATAAAACTCATTTATATCATTCACACGTCATATATTCATGAAAAATCAAATTAATGTGACTAACTTTGTTTACTCAATTATCTCTTTTTTTAACAACGTGAAATATGAAAAGTGTTCGTAGCAATAAAAGTAGTTCACAATTCCTCATTTAAGACCAACCAATATTATTGTGCTTATTTTTTTAAAATTACATCAATGCACATTTAATTTAAATAATAAACTCATAATTATTTAGAAGGTTGGAGCTTTTAATAAAAGGGTGAGATAAGAAGATGTTTTATTGAATTGCCATTCAATATGAATTTTTGAAATAATTGCATGAAAATAGAGAAAAAAGAAGTAGGAGCCCAAAATTAGAGGAGGGAAAGAAAAGAGAGAGGTATAATAAGGGAATTAAAAAAAACGGGAACATCTACGGCAAGTAAAAAAGTAAAGGATATGAAACAAATACCCTAATCACTACCCCTTTATGTTACAAATAACTATAGAAAAACCGGATGTATCAAGCACATGATACAGTCGATTGTACCGTGTAATTTGACGTATGTAGTATGTACCTCCATCATGCGTGCGGAAATTTTTTCCATTTCTTCACGTAACTCTTTGATCAACTGAGAGCACTTAATCGGTGTTATCAATGTTGCAGATGGTCGAACCTGAAATATTAAATATTGATTACATCGCATCCAAAATAGTACAAATTTAAAGGTAATTGGTATAACTAAAAGAGTCTATCCTTTATTGCAGTTGATTTCTCTTTAAAAAACTACTCCGTAATACATATAAAAATGTACCAATAAGGTATAACATTTGAAATTTATGAATGTAACTATAAATTTATTATGTCACTGGTAATTCCTTATGTTTTTTTTATAATCCAAGTGTCGGGGCTTACGCTCCCATAATCCTGGAGTCTATGAACTACCCTCCAAAGCCTCTAGACAGTTAAATCCGGATCTGATCACAGTCAACCTCGTCAGTACTGGCTCCAAAGGACGAATCCAGCAGGACTTACATCACCTTTCAGACTGCTCCTCCCACCACACGCACGAACCCGCTACCTTCATTACCATTCTCTCCCTTCTCAGTCGTTGAGCAACTCCGTGAAGGTAGGAAGAATCATTGGGAGAAAGACCTCCCTCATCTCCCCTTGGCGGGAATTGAACCCAAGACCTCCCACAAAGGAGAGGCTTGGGGGTGGATGGTATCCATTGCACTATTAGTTATTGACTTATTGTTGATGTCAGTGCTATCACCATTGACATCACTAACAGAGTTGAACAGGTCACTATTAGCATCGGAAAAATCTTCATGTTACTCATTCCGACAAATTAAAAACAAGAAAATAGGCACTCATACTTTATGTTACTTGTTACTTGATCGTTTCTTGGTTTGCTGTTGGAATAGAGTGGCTAGTTTTATACGGACCGTTTTTATGCTTCTGCTCGATTGTTTATTTTATTCCTTAGCCCTGGATCTAGCTATTATTATTAAAGATTATCATGTTATCCATCTCACCTATGGCGCCATCCATGATCTATTCCCAGGCCTCCTAATTCAATCACTGCCACGAGGTGGATAAGTTGTTAGGGATTGGATTCTTGTACTTGGTTTTCATTAAACAAACGAGTACAAGAATGTACTTTGTATTTTGATAACTCTTCTATTATAAATATATCTGTCAGGGCTCCTATTAGAGTACTCTTTCTCATTATTTCACATGGTATCAAGAGCTCTAGGTTTGTAGATACACAATTTCTATTTTTTCTTTTTTTCCGGTTCCCATGAACCCTAGTACAGCCGCTGCCGCCTTAGGGTCGACTGCCGCCACATCTACGGTAGTCTCCAATCCTTTGAGGATGAGCGCGGCTGATATGGCGCAAATCACCTTCCCCGCGTCGCTGACCACGGTGCCTTCTTCCAGCGTACCGATGAGTTCGCCGCCTCCTGCTGCCTACGTCCGCGCAGCCCACATTCTTCACGTCGCTGACCACGGTGCTTGCTTCCAGCACACTGTTGAGTTCGCCGCCCGCTGTTGCAGACATCCATTCTCTAGTGGAGTCCGGTTCGACCGCTCGCACAGCTGTTCCAGAGCGCTACGCCGGTTCCACTCTTTCTGGCGAGCCAGGCATGATCCTGTCATCTTTTGTCGGGCCAGTTGGTCGTCGGCCGAGATCCTCTCCGCTGCCAACTTCATTCGCTGCTCTTGCTCAAGGTATCTTCAAGGGTCTCCAAATTGTGGACAATATTTGTTGTCTTTCTTGGTCCTAATTTGGTTTCTTGGAAGTCCTAGAAACAACCTACTTGCTCATGGAGATCTTATTGTCAAATATGTGCCTCCTAACCTTCCCCCGATGGATATAATTACTAAGAGTTTTTTTTGTTAGTTTGCAATTTCATTTTTTAAATTAAAAGACAACCTGCGCGTTGTATCTCCCACACAGTTTGAGGGAGTGTAATAGCCTAATATATTTAGGAATCTGCTTAATATATATTTAGGAAACTACCTAATATATATTTAAATATACTTTGTATTTTGGCAACTCTTCTATTATAAATATATCTGTCAGGGCTCCTATTGGAGTACCCTTTCACATTATTTCACAGAATGAAAGTAAGCGTCTAAAGGATAAGTGGTTTTATGAGTTTTTTATTTTTACGTTTTGTGTTACATTGTGTTGTTAGATTTGTGAGGATGACTGACAATTCTATCAATATCGATATTGTTAGTTAGAGGTATGCTCGGCGCGAATTATTTACACTCGTTTGGTGGATATTTATTCGTATTAATTTTTCAGGTGTGATCGTCTATATATCTAATCGTAAGGTTAACTGTTTTTGTTAAAGGAGGAAAATTGTAGTGAATATTATTTCTTTGAGTATGATGTAATGATTTTGATTCTAATAATATTAATGTAGGCGGTTTCAATAAGAAATTGTTTTAGCCCGTTTTAGATTATCAGCTAATGTAGATTGTAGATGCCTACAAAGAGGTGGTTAAGAAGTATTTTTTTCTACACTGGGTAAAAAGTTTGTGTCCTTACTCTATTCTCTTGCTAATCTATTTCCTGAATAATGTTAGCCTTTTGTATAAATATTGACTATACCCTATTTGTCTGTACTGAATATTCATTCTTCTTCATCTGTGATCTGTATTCACGCCTTCCTCATGCTTTCTTCAAGAACTCGGTATTCATTTAAGATTTCACATGGTATTAAAGCTAGTATTGGTAACTTTAATTTGAATCTTCTTGTAATTTTGTTAGATATCCTATTCAAAATTACAAATTAAGTTCTTCTCATTGCTGTTTCATTGCGTCTCTTTCTAAAATCCCTGAACCAAAAACTTACATACAAGCCATTAAATTTTCAGAATGGAAAAATGCTATGAATGATGAAATTAAAACTCTAAAAAATAATAGTACTTGGATTCTTGTTGATCTTCCTACTAATCAACATACTATTGGTTGTAAATGGGGTTTCAAAACAAAACTGAAGTTTGATGGATCTCTTGATAGATATAAATCTAGATAAGTAGCAAAAGGTTTACACTCAAGAAGAAGGTGATTTTGACTATTTTGACACTTTCTCTCCAGTTGTAAAATCAACAACTGTCAGAAATCTTTTAGGTGTTTCAAGTTCAAAAAATTGGTATTTACACCAATTAGATGTAAATAATGCTTTTTTACATGGTGATTTAAATGAAAATATTTACATGCAGCCCCCTCCTGGTTATTTACCAAATAATGATACTAGGGTTTGTAAATTCTTACAAGCTTATATGGGTTTAAACAAGCTTCTAGACAGTGGTATTTTAAACTTTCTGAATCTTTAAAAACTTTTGGTTAGAAACAGTCTAAGACAGATTTTTCTCTTTTCACTGAAGTTATTGAAATCTTCTTTACTGTTGTTTTACTTTATGTTGATGATCTTATTCTTGCTAGAAATGATATGAATGAAACTAATGCTCTTAAATCTTTTCTACACCATAAATTTACTATTAAAGATCTTGTTAAATTGAAATACATTTTAGGAATAGATATTGCTATATCAAAAACATGTAATGTTTTAAATCAAAGAAAATATACTCTTGATGTTCTTTCTCATTTTGGTTATCTTGCTTTGAAACCTTTTTCTACTCCTATGAATTCTAAACTTAAAATTTCAAAAAATGATGGTATTCTTTTGAGTGATCCTAAATCATATAGGACTTTAATCGATAGATTATTATACCTTAGTAACCTTACTGTAACCAGACATGATATAGCTTACTCTGTTCAAACGCTTAGTTAGTTTTTATCTTCTGTGACTGATATTCATATGGCTACAGCTCATAGGGTACTTAGATATCTTAAGAGCTCTCCAGGTAAAGGCCTTTTTTACTCTTCCAAATCTTCATTTCATCTTCAAGCTTACACAGATTCTGATTGGGGATCCTGTATTGATACTAAGAGAAGTATCTCTGGGTATTGCTTCTATCTTGGGGACTCTTTAATTTCTTGGAAATCCAAGAAACAACCTGTTATCAGTAGGTCCTCTACTGAAGCAGGGTACAAAGAAGATGCAAATGCAGTCTACGAAGCACAATGGCTTATTTATATTCTTCATGATTTACACATTCAAAATTAATTACCTATTACATTATATACTGATAACAAATCCACATATAATTTAGCATACAATCCAATACAACATCAAAGAACCACACATATAGAACTAGATTGTCATTTAATAAGGGAAAAGATCAATTTTGGACTCATAATTCTTACTCATATTCCTAATACTTATCAACTTGCAGATTTCTACACAAACTCTCTTGGAAATCCTTTATTCAAATAGTTTGATGACAAGATGAACATGTTGTATAGAATTGGACTGGATTTCATCTTGGGCCCAAATACTATTGGACTGCTTTACTTTTTAATATTAATTTAGTCTGTTAGCCTTTTGTATAAATATTGACTATTACCCTATTTGTCAGTACTGAATATTCGTTCTTCGTCATCTGATACAAAATGGTGTGTATACTATGTGTCATTATTAATATATGAATCATAGTGAATTGGTCTTATTTAAATTTATTATCTTTAATTAAAACTCATAAAATATTGAGAGTAAAAAGGTTGGTGTACACAAAAGTTTTTTTGTGTACACTTGTTGTACACTCGTTCGTCTACACAAATAATCATTGTCTTTTATAAATGAACTTTCTGAGACAATTAGAGACCGACACAAAAAGTGTACACCCTACGCTTTTTGTATACAAAAAGAGTTAACCACATATTGACATATATGTACACAGAATAAATAGCGTACAAAGAAGTGTATAAGAATACTACGTATGTACAAACATATTTTTTTGTCACCTTTTCCCATGCGTTTGAATCAAGGTCTTCTAATGCAATTTTCTGACCATCCACGGCTGCTTTTAAAGTTGTGAGAACACCATCATCATCCTCATCCCCTTCTTCCCAACGGGCGACTGCCAAAACAGCAAGCAACTGTACGCACTGCACAATATTGCAAAACCAAATTATTTCTTTTTTTTTCTAAAAAAACTAAACTAGATTAATTACCATTTACATCCTTTTTCGTGAAAAAAGAATTGAAGAAAGGACTGAATAGGAAAATAAAGTATAAGATCGTCAATTTAGAACAGAGAGAAGTAAGTATTATTATTGCATGCATAACCTAAACCACAATACTAAATATTCGGTAATTTGAGTGTGTTTCGCTTCCATACACGAGAGACTAAAGTAGGCAAAGCAGTTTCCGGATTTTGTGGAGATGAATCATCATCGTACTCCAAGTGTTTGCTTAATCTGCATTTCATCATAATTAAAAGATTAATCGGGGAATGTTATGACTAGTCCCTTAAAATTTTGTCAACTTTCTTTTTTGATTGTCCCATTAACTTTGCTATTTTTTCTAATTAAAGAATTTGTGGTTCCAGTTAATTCTCTCTCCTTTATTAATCTCTTTTTTTTATGCATTTATGCAGAACTTACTTGTTGATCAAATGGCTCTTAGCCCGATCAGATTCTTCTCTAAACTTTGTTATTGCAACATTTTTTGCATATTCCCCTAACCCATCTGTCAATTTTTTCCTGTCTTCATCATTCATGCCAAAGTATGATAATGCGGTGTCAAGCTGAGGCAGAGCTTTCTCTACCAAGCTTTTGAATTCTTCTCTTATTCTTGACCATCTTGGAACTCGAGGATCATCACAGACTGTAAAACTCAGCCAGCTTGACAATTCTTTTTTTATAGTCGGCTAATATACAAAAAGGAGGCTAGAGTTAGAAAAACAATACTTTACTTCAACTATGTGATAGGTAATAAATACGTATAATACATGTGATACCTCATAGAGTTCTTTCACTACAAACCCAGGTCTGTCTTCTTGTTTAGCAGAAGCATAATTTTTCATCTGCATTTCAAGCTTTGCCCTTTCTTTCCACGAATCCCACTTGGCCTCCCTTGCTCTGAAAGCTGCAAGGTTATTAAGCTATCAGAAACCGGAATATATATATGGGCCAAAATCCGTTGGAAGTATTAAAAAATAAAAACTCCAACGGATTCCAAAGAGAAACCGGCAATTGCATCCGAATAATTTAACAAGAATTTTCAAATACTCTCTCCATCCCTTAAAACTTTGTCATCTTTCCTTTTTGGACGTCCCAAAAAACTTTGACACTTTCCTTTTTAATCAATCATTTTGTAGTTTCTACATTTTTTTTTTGTCTGTACAGACAAAACGTAACGTGTTTTCATCAAAATACGTTTTGTCTGTAAATGTTACACAGACAGGATGTAAAAGTGTGTACACCAAAAAGTGTGTACGAAGAGTGTTTTTGTATAATCTTTATTTATATCCCGCACAGGTAGCTCAGTTAGTCGAGTGTTGGGAAAATTGGACCAAGTGATCAAGGTTCAAAACTCGGCGGCCGTGTGGAGATTACAGAACCTGAAATAAGGCTGGACCTCGGTGCACACGTGTATAAGGCTTACCGCCGCTTTGCTAACTGAGTCACCGTGATTAACTTCCCCACCATCCTGTCGGGTCGGGGTGCAGGGCTCCCGGGGTGGGAGATTAGGGCAGAGCACGGGCCGGGTTCGGGCGGGTCGGGTTCAAAAATGGTAAGCCTGTTCGGGTATCGGATTGATAATTTCAAACCCTACCCTATCAAAAAAATTATCGGGTTATTTCGGGTTGAAGAAGTTCGGGTTGCGGTCGGGTTGATTCGGTTTTCGGGTCCATTCGGATTTTAATTTATTATTGATGAAATTGTGATAAACAAAATGATAATTGGTAAAAATAGCATTCAAAGTTATACCGGTATAATATTCAAAGTAATAGTTGTATAAATACGGTAATCGACATATTTGAGTATGTAAAATAATAATATATGGTGATTGACATATTTGATATTGTGATAAATAAAATGATAATTGGTCAAAATATCATTCAAAGTCATAACAATACAACATTCAAAGTTATAGTTGTACAAATACGGTAATTGGAATATTTGAACATGCATAATATGGTAATTGGCATACAATTCAATAATTGAGATATTTGAACATGAATAATAATTCAAAGTAGTATATATACTACGCTAGTTCGGTTTTTCGGGCGGGTCGGATAGCATAATCGGTAACCCTACCCGCTTAAGTCTCGGGTTGCAAGAATCGGATCGGGTTTGGATATTTCGAGTCGGGTTTTCCGACCCCAACAAAAAAGACGGATATATCCGATCCGGTAAGGTCGGGTTTGCTCTACTCTAGGGGAGATTCCACTTTTGGGCCAAATGTATAATCTTTATTGATGTGACCGGGTATTTTTCTACGTTGTGATTTATCGTGACATGAATCAAATCCTGAACTAAAAAGTAAATACAAATGGCTAGAAAGATCTAATTGACATTTCCCAACTATAAATATCTTTACGCACCGATGAGTTTTGTTTAATTGAATTTATTATTAAATTTTCTATTATTTTATGATTAAATTTTCCATTTGAAAAAGTTACGAAATAGAAGTAAAAAAATTCGAAAATTCAAAACATGACCACTGCTGGGATATTAAGGTTCTGCCCAATACGGCGGCCCAAAACATCCCTGAAGCCCCCACACAAGGAAAGGCCCAGAGAGAATCATCAGGCCTGAACGGCAGGCCGGCCACGTTCGGCACATCTCGAACGGGATATAATTACTACTTGAGTAATTAGCTTATTCCTGATTGATGGCTTAGCTGGTCTTAATCCCGAACGAACATTGCTCGAGTAACCGACTGAAGTTAATGTTGGATCATGGGGGCGTCAAGTGTCATGGGAGACAATCAATCATATTAGGGCACCCCATACCCCCATCTAGTATAAATATCAACATTTAATTCATTGTAAGGGTTAGCATTTGTTTACTCACAAACTTATATTGCATCCTAGCCTTTGTATTAGCTTCTGGATCGTAACTACCGTTCGACTATTTCCGTGTAATCATTATTACTGTGTTAATACAAGCAAGACTATTTGAGTGAATCTATCGGTTTTTATATTTCTTTTATACACATTACTGTAGCAACTTTATCCTACATTCAAGGTTGGTGTTGGGCCTTCGAGTCATTCGTTACTTAACCTCAACAACCACCATATTTTATTTTTAATTATAATGATCTGGAAAGATTTGAAATATATTAATTATTCTCTTCGTTCCGTAAAATAGTTCTCACTTTCCATATGGGCTCTCCCAAAAAATAATTCTTATTTTCTTTTTTGAAAAGTTTTGTATGACCATCGTTCATTTAATTGTTTCTTACTCAACCAGAATCATTATTTCAACTTTATTCTCACTTTCTTAAACGATGATCCAAATCAAACTGAGATCTATTTTATGGGATAGATGGAGTATAAGTTTCAAGTTTCAAATAGTTAATGAGTAAGTAAAACATTTATTTTCAAAATGTGATCATAAATATTAGAATCACCCTCATGAAGTATACTTACTCGTGAATATAACTAATCTCAAAATATAATGTACGTACTTCAAGAGAAACGGTCGGTTTTTTTCATGAATTATAAACTTTAATTTTTACTCGAAATGGTATATTTCAACAGGACTCTACATAATTATGTGTTGTCTGCGCGTATTTATTAAAACGATTAAATATATTTGTTAATACTTAACATAGTTCTCTCTTCCTACTCTAAATAAATAATTTTTTTATTACACATTGTCACATCACATGTATTCAATAAATTTTAAATAATCTCAAAATTTAAAATTCTTCATCAACAATAATACTAAAATAATTAGTTTTTTCCGGACATGCATAATTTAACTATAATCTAAAATAATCTGAGATTGGAATATTGATACCGGAATTTCATTTTCAATAATCTCACTAAATAATCTCTCACTCACAATGATAATCTTTAAAATAACCTTACACATCATCCAATTGATCTTCAAATAAACTCATGGATGAGGATATCATTTTAAGAACAATCCCGTTAGATTTTTCAGTGTTTTTAAGAAGACAATAATAAAGGTAATATAGGGGCGGATCCAAAAACGTAGATATATATTGAGGGCACTAGGTGTTTGAAATTGATTTTGTTTTCCTTTTTTAAGCACAAGTAGAATCTAGATCATTTTTCAGGAGCTAGTCTTCCCTAACTTCTGAAAAATTGCTTCTAGAAATATTTTGGAGTCCTCAGAAGTACTTCTATACTTTCACTCAAACACTCTTATATTCGCTTCTGTTTCTGCTTCTTTTTAAAAATAGAAATATAATCAGCTTATAAGAGCAATTTGGAATGTACTTCAACACTTTGGAGATTATTTTTTATTGAAATACAAAGTATCACGTAATGCATGCAATCACAATTGTTCTTTACGAGATTTTTTTAACACGATCCATTACAATTCTTCTTGTAGAAACATCAAGTAAACCTATTTCTAAAACAATTATTCAAAAACTGGCCATCAATACAATTGCACAAACTTAGTTTGATAACCATATGCATTGCATAAGCATATTTGAACTAAAGTTATTTTTTTAAATAAGTACATATTATATTGAAGTGACTAAAATAATTTAATTAATAACAACTTAGGTTCATTTTTTATACAGTTATTTTTATGTGACAAATGATCATGACATTATACTCATTTAACTTTGCAAATAAGTTTTATTTAATTTCAATAATATTTTTTGAAAAATACCAACTTAATAAACCTGATTATGAAAATAATGATTAGAAACAATTAATTTTAGATCTATATTATTTGGAAAACAAAATTGAAAAATCGAGTTGTAGAAGGTGCATTTCTTGGGAAATTGATTCCGCAACAGAAAATCAAGTATCTTTCTCAACTGTTAAACTACTGTTTTGATAGTATAGAATTGTTATTGTTTATATTTGTAATTTTAACTAGTTTTTATAAGTTCTAGTTGTGGAAATTACACACTTTTGGTGTAATACTTTATTTTCATAATTATTTGTAATTTGTTTAGATTAGGACTATTCTGAGCTAAAGAGGTCAAAGATCATCCAAGGGATCAAGATTGGACCTCAAAAGATCAAGGAAAGTGCAAGGAGGCAAGAAAGATTTCGATTTGGATAAAATACTCTTATACCCGGTCAGGTATAGGCAATACTCGATCGGGTATTTGCTTGATTCGATTGTCCAAATCAAATCCGGGAACGAATGATTGTGGGAGGAAGATTTCGTAAAGATTTGTCACATACCCGATCGGGTATGCCGACATACCCGATCGGGTATGCCCAGAAAAGTGAATTTCTAGGAAATTTCCTAAGATACCCGATCGGGTATCCTATATACCTGGTTGGGTATTAGACCCTGCACCTCCCAAAAGCCTATAAATACACCCCTTTCCTTCACAATAAAATCACCAATTCACATACTCCCTCCGGTTCCAAAAGATCTTGACACTTTGACTTCACAGTTTTTAAGGAAATAAACACTGTTTGACACTATTTGGCACTGTTTGGCACTGCTTGGCACTGTTTTGTGTAGATTTATTTGCCAAATAAGGCAAATAAGGAAGTGTAATGATCTTTCTGGTACTGCTAAAAATGGAAAGTGTAAAGATCTTTCAGAACCGGATGGAGTATACTCTAAAGCTCAGTTTAGTTAAGTAGTTCCTTTATATTTTTAGCATGTTTAGTCTCCAAATGAGGAGTTAAACTCTTCCATCTTGGTTTTACTACGTTGAAGCTTAATGAATTGTAAGTTGTGAGTTATTTTCTTTAATCTTCTTCCTTGAATATTAATTAATCTATCTTTATATAAATGTCGGGGAGTGTTGCTAAGATGACAATTAGATAACATCTCGACATTAATTATAGTAGCATTTATTTTCTTTATTAATCTTCCTTGAATATTAATTAATTCCTATTCATAATTCAATATTTCATATTAATATTTTGAGCATTACTTTAAGGATCAACGAATTTCGTTTCATATATTAATTATTACTAGAATCGATCGACGAATACGCTTGTTAATCGTTCGGTCCTTTCACGGTAGTAAACTTGGATTATTAATGCATGCGTCTCATGGTTAATAATCTAAGGGGAATTAATTATATTGATTAAACCAATAAACCACTTGTGTTGAGGTTATCAATCTCAATCTTTTTCATCTTAAGTTTATTGCTACTATCGGGTTAGTATACGGCGCATGTTCTATATTGACTCGGTAGTAAGTTTTATTAATGAACGCGTCTCGTTATTAATAACTACCCTCGATGAAATAGAGATACTCCTCGATTGAGTATTCGAGAGGAAGATAGTTAAAGATATAACCAGGATCGACGAACATTTCATTAAGTGGATAAAAGCAAACCCAAGTCCTCATCTCAATTAAGTGAAACACATAAGTCGTTCATCTTAGTGATTAAATATTCTTAAAGTTCCAAAAACAATCTAAAAACCCTCCTTGTTACTATTTAATTAAAAGAGAAGTATTCATTTCCCTGTGGATATGAACCTTACTTCATTATACTACGTATAATTGTTGTATTGATATTTATTTTGAGTGCACACCACGACAAAGTGCACGTCATCTTTCTTTAGGCTTTAAAAATTAGAATAACATAAAGTTCAAAAGATAAAATCGAGTCTTACAAAACATGAACAGATAATGGGTCGACTCGATGCATCTCTTACATTTCAAAATGATTGTAGATTATTTAATGAGGGCATTCATATTTTTTTTTTGGGGAACAAGTGATTAATTGATTAAAAGTACTAAAATATTAAAAATGTTATTGGGGGCAAGTGCCCCCATCCTCCAAAGGGTGCATCCGCCCCTGGGTAATATATAGATAGTGTAGGGTAAATGAAAAAGTAGAATAGAGAGTGGTTATATTGAAAAGAGGAAAATAATGAAAAAGTATGAAAGAGAAAATAACTTGTAAAAGGTAAACAAGCTAAGAGTAATAAAGTCAGGGTATAAATGTTTTTTGATAAGAAAAACTTATTATAAGGTGAAAGAGAGACGAGTAATACAAAAACATTCCAAAACGGATACATAGACAAAAGGAGTATTAGTCAACAAATATATTCGAATGAAATGACCCACCTTTTAATATAATAAAAATAAATCTACATTACCACCTTTTAAAATTTAGTCTAAATTAAAAAACATAGACAAACCTTCACAGCCTTCGTCAAATTTATTTAACCAGCATCGGGTGTGATCTTCGACTATGATAACTCTATTATTTCCGTCTGTACACTTATCAATTGCATCCATAAATCCCTTCAAACTCGTCAGCCTCCAATCCTTCACCATACCTATATAAATATGTTCAACATGCTAACAGAAATATAGAATTAATTAGATTTGCATTTGAGGAGTTCAAAGAGAAATGAGAAAGTCACGAATACATCTATCAGCTGATTATCTTCAAAATCAGAATATAGCAGAAACAAGTACCTGCAAACATTCTTGAATAAGCTGCTCTCGTTTTTCCTTGACAACACTTTCATCATAAAATGAGGCTTCTTCGTCATACCTAGACAGTTAGAAACAAAGAAAGATTAACGAACAAGTCGAATCGAATTGCTCATCTGAGCTTAATATGCAAATTATGTTACTGTAAACAATAGAGTTCTGATCTATTATGGTTTCATCTATTAAAGTTTAATCTCGTTTGGTCTGGTCTAATAATTGTCGGGTATGTTTGTTTTTCTATTGTACAATTTCAGTATGGTCTAATCTTTTATGTATGGTCGGGTATAGTCTGAGATTGAAATAAATCGAAGTGAAAATATCTTTAGTTCAATAACATGTATAATGATTTGTGATACAAGTATTTATTTATTTATTTATTTATTTATATGCAGATATGAGTAGATAATGAAAAACACCAACTTTGACACACAAGTGTTGAGAAAGGAGTCCACTTCTTCACCAAAATTGGGAACAGGGCGATAGTATGCAACTTTTCTCAAAGTACGCAAAAGCTGTGTAATAAACATTAATCCGTTAAGACTTAAGAAGATGTACATGAAGTAGCTAGCATATAAAATAGAGAGGATACGCATTATAAAAAACTAGCATAATTGTTTTTATACCTTATTCTTTTTGAAGGAATTAAAATGATCATTTTTAATCTTTTCACACCGCGCGATTGAAACCAATATCTGAGACAGATGAAATATGTGTATGTCAAATTAATCAAGAATATATTGAAAAGGAAAGAAAATCATTAACTTACAAAGCTTTATGTTTTAGTATGTTAGTCAATGGATAGACACAATCATATATAGGAATGTTTGGATCTCATTTTTAAAAATGTTTTTGTTCATTTTGGGAGCAAAAAAGATTTGAGAGTGTTAAGACCCGAGGTTCCATCCTAAAAGTTCAACCCTGATAGGAGGAGTAGCCCAAAGCCTTATATAGTGTTTTATTGTTTTATAGTTTTCCGGTGTGGAACAGAGAGTATTTGGATGAAAGTGCAGAACTACTCAGAAGTGCTTCAAATCGCTCCTAGAGACAGTTTTTTAGAAGCTAGGGAGACCTCATTTTGAAAAATAAATTCTGATTCTACTTCTACTTTTACAAAAGAAGCTGAAGCACAATCAATTCTAAGCACACCATAATTTTCTTAGATGTTATGATATGGAATTTTAGAGCTCACCTATAGTTTGTTCCATGCGCAGAATACAAAAGAAAAACATATCACCTCATATTTAGGAACATCAAGGTCCTTATTTCCCAATATGTCACTCCATATTTCTTGTGCAAGCGCTGGAAACATTGAAGCCCGATGTTTTGCTTTGTCGTCTATGTGTTTAAGTGCGGGAATGATGAATTTTTCCTTTAACTCTGTGACCTGAACAGACATCAATAATAATATGGGGTAATATAGAAAATAGTAGTACTAACTACTAACAATACTAACAAATATAAATCGAACACAAAAAATAACATGTTTATAGCCTTATAGTGATATATACACATAGGACTGGTTAGGTAAAAGTTGTGGCATAGTTAGAAGAAATATAACTTCAACTTGTCATCTACGTAGTATGCTAGTATATTTAGTAATATAACTATTTTCTGATGTACCAAAAAAATATATTTGGTAATATAATGATAATACCTTTAGTTTAAAACCTTCTTCACGTTCTTCATAATTTGGAAGAAATATAAATTTAACCTGTCAAATTACCAAATCACATGAGAAATTGTGCATTTCATAGTATATGAGTCCGTTTAGTAACCATTATTTTTTATTTCGTATGTTACATTGTGCAATAATCAAAATAAGTAGCGCTGAAAGTACTTTCAAGTCTGAAATTGGTGAAGATGACTATATTAGCTATTTTCATAGAGTATAATTTTATTATTAAGATTTAGTTTAAATATAATTTTTCACAATTCAGCATATTTAGCCAACTCAACCGTTTCAATTAGAACTTCATCAATTATAACAGATTCAACCTATTCAGACAATTTAGCCAATTTGAATATCACCAATCGACCCTTGCATGAATGAGTTGTTTTTAAAAAAACAGAGTAGAGTAGGGTGCATATAAATTACTTCAAAATAATCTTGAAGCTGGAGATTGGTGCTGCTTGATGGAATAGCAGAGGCCCATATCTATATAAAAAAAAAAAGTAAAGAAATTTTAAGAAGACAATGAATGAATAAAATCAAAAGATGAGGGAATACATAGAATTGCACCAAAACATGTTACCTCCATTAGATCTTCTCTAAGTATTTCTTCTAAACTAGATTTTCGAGACTGTGAAACCATTACAGATCGGAATCAATACATATTAATGAAAGCTAAGAGTACCTAAACATGTAAGGTAAAAAAGTGAGGTGTTGAGTTGAAGGTAAAACTATATGCACCTCTATTTCGTCGCGTACGACAAACATTAGTGTTATTTTCCTTGGCTTTTTCATGAATTCCTTCATGGCCTAAAACATGACGATGAAAAGTTAAAAAAAACAGCTATAAGTATGTTCATTGATATTGTCATTACACTTTGTTTAAAAAGTAACATCGATAATCTTTTTGTTAAGTATGAAATATGAATTATCTTTGTCTAAAGTTAGATACAAAAAATATGATAGCGTTTTTAACAGATTGAAGACTCTTATCTTGAACAAAAATCCATACACGAGATACATTCATTGTTTTTCTCACAGATTGCAATAAGTTTTCTCAAGAATTTTGCACATAGTAACATATCCTTTTCAAATTCGAGCCTAAATTTATTAAAAAGTGGTTTGACATGAAACAATTATTGCCATAAATTAGTGTCAAACTCATTGTTTTTTTGTAATGCAATATGATCAAAGTTCTATACATAAAATATCAGATTATTAAATAAAGTTGTATTGAAGGATGTTATGACAAACTTAAATTATACTTCATCTTTGAACATGGTAGTATTATATTCAAACATGTACGAACAAATTTTGTGGCACAACGTGTAGCGTTGGACATGATTCTAGTTCAAAGTCGAAATCTTGACTACTGCGTAGGATGAAAATAACGAGAAATCCAATTCAATATCAGAAACGGCACAAGAACGATTCTTTTGTAATCCAAACTATGGTTTTCTATTAGAAAGTCAAACATTACTGTTTAGAATTATCTTAATTGGTTCAAAAGTAAACCTATAGTTCATTGATGTAAATTGTTTGAAAATCGGCATTGAATAATCTATTTCAAATTACAAATAATAATATGCACGTTCTAGAAAGAATAGATGAGTGAGATCCATTCCTATACATGGATAGTGCTCCTCCTTACGATTGCTAAGAATATTATAAGGCTACTCTTGAGTGCGTACTTAGTCCAAAGTTATTTTAGAAACATAAATAATTAATTATACCTGCTGGAAAATAGTTCTTAGAAGAGGCTTATTAGCAGCGTGCTCCCGGCCAATGTCTTTACACCACCTAATAACAAAGTTGAAGGGAAAGTATAAGTATAGCCGAACTGAGAGTGCAGAATTTTAGGGTAGGAGAGGAAGGGGTTTTGTCATTTCATTTCTTCCACTCTTATACTTATAACACTTTAACTACATGTTTGTAAATTCTTATATTTTTCTATCTCTATTTTAAAGTTATCAGCATTATCGTTCAACTTTTTTTAAAACATTAAATCTTTATTTCACATACAAAATTTATTAATAATCAAAATAAGTAAGACTAGAGTTACTTGCACAACAAAATCATTGGTTTGGCTAAAGATGACTTTTTTTAGCTTTTTTTTAAAAATAATCATCTCTATTTAAATATATTTAATAAACATTTGCGAAAAATTGATTCAATTTAACTAATTTCAATATTTTGAACGAATTCTTATTCTTTTGACGATTGCGAAATTGTAAATGCCTGTCATTTCACTATTGTCATAGTGACAGTCCTATAACTGTTGTTGCAAAATTTACAATCAAATGACTAAAAGTTACCTTCACAATGGTCAATGAGTAAAAGTCGGAATTTAAAATCGGGGTACCAACGTGTCTTTATCAAAACAACCCATTGACCAATAAAGAAAATCTTCAAGAAGTATTAAGTTTATCATCCACTCCAAAAAGGAATATATTAATTTTGTTATATAAAATTTAATAAATGAAGCATTTAACACAAAATAATCTGATCTCTTTCATACAGGTTTTAATTTTATTCTACAAATTCTTTTTTTATTTTGTCATATAGGTTATAGTGTTTTTTTAGAAAAAATCTAATTCAATATATAATTAAGGCTTAACTATATTTCTAGTCCCTGAAAATAAAAGGTACACAATTTAAAGTCCCTACAACTCTTTTTTGTTTTTCATCCATGCAAAACACACTATTTTGATTTTAGTCGATCTTTAACTTTGAAACAACTCTATTTTAAAAAAAAAATATTGTAGGTTGTATAAATATACTTGAAACGTTTAAATTTATCCTTTTATATTTTTTAGGCTAGTATGACAGTTAAAATAATGTAAAACTAATTAATCACATTTTTTAACGTGTATTAAAAACCTTCTAAAATATAAAATTAAAAACTTTGGAATAACATGAAAAGAATTAGAGGTAACCTATTGGTCATGGCTGTTTTGTTGTCAAACGGAGGTTGTTATTATTAGCGGTGTACTAAAAAGAAAACCAATATGAATTTTAGGGATGATAGCAAAAAGATAATTTTGCAGGGATCTAAAACAAATGTACTATACTTGGAGAGACTAAAAATATATTTAAACTTATGAATAAAAATTTTGGTGCTATTATTTAAGTATGGAGTATATTTTTTTCATTTTAAAGAGCCAATTTGCACCTTGATAGAAACACTAAGGGCATTTGTGGCAACTTATAAAACATTAGGGGTTTATCTGCATTTATAAGCTGCCACAAATTGTTAAGGATGCATCTACAAAATTTTCCACTATTTGATTAAGGCATTTGTGTTTTTGTTTTTGAGAAATTTTCCAAAATATGAGTAGAAAATGTGATTTCCTTAAATATGATTACTATATTTTTTACGAAATACGAAAGGAGTATTATCATGTTTAAATCGTACTGTCAAATTATGACATTATTATCAGACAATCAGACATTAATATCACAATATATATTAGCGCCATATAATATGATACTACGTAGTATATTTCAGGCTAATAGTACATATTTCAGGCAAAACACATACTACCTTCGTCCTGAAAAGGTTTGCCAAATTGACTTTTCTTGGTCAATGATGGAAAACTTTGAGCAATGATTTTAGTTATTATATTTGTATATAATTTATAAATTTTATACTTTTATGAAAATATTTTCAATAAGGAATATTTTGATATAATTTTCATATTCTAAATAATTTCGTATTAAAATATATCATTGATCAAAGTTGATGGTCATTGACCAAGAAAAGTCAATTTGACAAACCTTTTCGGGACGGAGAGAGTAATACTTGATTCTATGTATGGAAACCATATCGTTTTACTTTTATTCGATCCCATTTCCTTTTTTGTTACTAGTCTTTGAGTTTTTAACTTCTAATCATCTAACAATTTGAAAGTGACAATTTTGGTCTTACGAATATTGTTATATTAACACTTTTGGTCTTCCAATAGTTTTAATGAAATTCATAGTTGAATGATCAAAGCAGTTACTTTCACTATAGTTGAATGATTTAAAAGTGGAATATCGAAATACAGGTACTAAATGTGTATTCTTCACAATAATTGAGCACCAAATATGAAAGTATTCAAAATCAAATATTAAAAGTCTCATTCACATTATAGGTAATCAATAAAACATGTTAAAAGCTCATAGAAGATCAGAACAATGAATCAACATTATTGTTCCTCTTAAATAGAAATACTTACATATTAATTAAAACAATGTCAGCTACCAAAAGAGTAAAAAGAGCACTCTGCTTTTCAAATGAAGTATTGCCCTGGAAAGAAAGATAAACACATGATAGTGCAATTTCGAAATCTTTGAACTTTGACATTTTAGTTCCGATAAAAAGATCAAATATCAAACCCGTATTTGACCGCAATCTGAGCCTTCCACATCCATTACAAGCGTGAAAGGTCTTACGTCTGGACATCTTGACATCCAAATCCCTAAAGTTGCTTGAGACCTAAAAATGTACAATATTGCCCGTTAATTGATTCATCATAAATAAACAGCAATATGTTATATACTATCGTACTACATAATTTGTACATGTTTTAGAATCACATACCCTCTTTTAGAATCATCCATCGTCTGAAACCGTGTATTGAACAAGTGATTGAGTAATGTGCTTTTTCCTGTTTAATACTTAACTATAAATTAATCGAACATCTAAATTGGCATGTAGTTTCTAAATTACAATCACTTTAAGAATGTGTTTGGTAACACTGAAATTGGCTGAATCGTTTGCAAATGCTTTGTATGAGATTGACCTAATTATATCAACCTCGCTCATGAAGTCATGTAAAAAACAAATTATAACCGATTTAATAATGAGCCATTCGCTAATGAAGTCATGTAAGAAGTCTAAATCATGGTACATACCACTACTAACTGGGCCGAGTATTGCTACAATTGCATATGAGCGGACACACTCTTTGAAATCTGTTCTTAATGCAAAGTTCTCGAAGTCCTTTTCCTTGAAGTCATTATAACACTCATCGATTAGTTGAAAAGTAATATCTTCATGTCTATGAGGTGCATCTGTAAAAGAGAAAGATCTATGTTAACAAAAAATGTAGTACAAAAAAATATAAAATAAACATACTCACAATTGAAAACATGTAAAACATTAGTGTTGAATCCTAATATCTCATTTATTGTTTTTTTTTTTCAACTCTCGTTTATTGTTTATAAAAAGTCACAAAACACGCACGACTTTTTTGAAATATTTATTTATGTGTCTCAATTTTATAAAATCGAATATAATTTTCAATTTATGTTTTGTAATATTCAAATTACAGAATAAGTAAACCAAATTTATATCTAATACCTGCATCAAATTTCAATACTACAAGATGGTGTTGTAATTATTTACTAATATTAGAATAATACATTTTAAATTTATCTGAGAAAAAATGACAAAAACTAAGATGTTTCTTGATCAATGCATAGTAATTTGAAATTTTGAATGGGCTAGATGTTATGTGTGTTGATGATCAATTTGAAAATTATACTACCTTCATCCCACTAACATTGGGACATGAGGAGGTGACACACTTATTAAGAAAAGTGAGTTTATTTGATTGATATTGAATTGATAAAGTAAAAATGATTTAAAACCATATAAATTTTACCAAATTTAGTATGGAACAATCTTATTGGGACGGATTGAGAAGGAAAGATGAGATAATCTTAGCGGGACCAAGCATATAATAAATATTCTAAAATTGGTAAGAGTAACACATAAATAAGTTATAAATATATGAAACACCTATGTTTTATATTAGTCGTGAAGTTAGCTTGTAAGATTCAATATGAATTAAGAGATATATTAGTACAATAAATTAGAATAAGCGATTAAGAGACCTACCCATTCTTAAGAACTGAGTTGATATATTGTGGTCTTCAGAAAGATGAAAATGGAAGTAAAATGCGTGATATTGTGGATGAGTGAGAGGGTGATGAGAAAATGTTTGATCTATATATAATGACAACTGTGGAAGAGTATAAGATTCTTGTCTAAATCTATGACTAGTTTAAAGTTTAATGATTTAACTTGAAGAGTACACAAAGTTATGTCCTACTTTTACATTAAAATATACATAAAGGTGTAAATCATGTCCGAACATAGTGAAATCAATAGTAAGTGTAATAATAGTAGTAGTAGTCTAGATAATATTATTGTTGTTATTCAAATTTGAATATCTTTTTCTACTAAATGAGATTTTATGCACTTTTTGTGAAAGAATATCATTAATCATTTAATCTATTTAGATGCGCCTTATCTAAAAATTAACATAGCCATTTATTGTAATGCTTAATTTAACCCCTAGATTCTGTTTTAGACTAGTTTCCATTTTAATAATTTACTAATTTGAAGAAAATATACGAAAGATCACTCCATCTGATTTCTCAAAGTATTATATAATGATTTCATTTTAAAATGCATCATTCGTATAAATTTAATTATATATAAAAATAATTCGTTTTTATTCTTTAAAACATCTTGCAGAATATTGAATATTTTTTTAAAATCCTTATGTTGGGTAAAAATAAAACTTTTAATGGAAAATGTTGATGATTAAATAATGGAATACAAAATGGAGTCCATCATATGTTTTGGTATGCATACATTGAAAAGTCACACAACTTTGTCAACTTATTCTCCCTTCTCAATTACAACATTGGTATGAAAAATAATCTAGTGAAGTAAGGAATCAACTAGACCATTGACATCATCCTAAATATTTACCGCAAGTTATCGAGATGAATTCATTTCCTTATTTACAAAGGAAGGCACCCCGATTTTAAGCATTAACTATTGGTAGGCTAAAGACATGTTTGAAAAATGTTGAAACTAGGGGTGAGCATGAGATGATGCGGGACTGTTATTTCGAAAAACATGTCTCGTTTCAAAGTACGGTTCTTTTGAAAATCAAAGAACCAGTAGCGTCCAAATATACATAGAACCTGTCCCGGTCGGTGCCAATTTTCAGTACGGTTTGGTACGGTTCGATACGGTTCTTCGGTATTGATGCACACTAATTAGTAGTGCATAATTACATGTTTTTATGTTTGATTTATGTTGATTGTTTGACGTTTTATTTAGTTTGTAAACATTTATGTGATTTCAGTTGTAATTGTATTTTAGTCTTTATTTATAAGTTGTAAAGTATAGTTAGGATTTGTGGTGTTGGAAAGGAAGACTTTGAAGAGAAGAAAAAAAGAAATTTGAATGCCCAGGAGTAAAACTCGACCGGGTAGAAACCCCCACCCGGTTGGGTATGATTTAATAGATGAAATTGCCAAGAAAATCACTGGACCCGATCGGGTCCCCTACTTGACCCGGTCGGGTCAGATGTGACCCGGGACAAAACGACGTGCGAAGATCACCAGAACGTGGCGGATTATCTGATTTTGACCGGACCCGGTCGGGTAAGTACTTGACCCGGTCGGGTACCCAGCCAAAGGTGTTGAAAAACACCTATAAATAGCACACTTTTTCTTCTCTAAAAATGATCCCTTCTTCTATACTCCTAAGCTCAGTTTAGAATAGCATTTCTTATATTTTTATAGCATGTTTAGTCTCCAAATCAGGAGCTAAACTTCCATTTCTTGGTTTTGCTCTTGAAGCTTGTTGATTATTAAAGTTGTGAGTTATTTTCTTAACCTCTTCTCTTGATTATTAATTCTTCCCTTAATTTCATTCTATATTAATGTTGGAGGGTTGCTAAGTGATGATTAGTTAACGTTCCGACATTAATTATTACTAGAAACGATCAACGAACCGATGATTAATCGTTGGTGGTTTCACAAGTAAGTAACTTCGGTTTATTAATGCACGGTAGTGGTTAATAGATTTAAGAGGGATTAATTTTGTTGGTTAAACCGAAATTGTTGTGTTGAGGTTATCAATCTCAATTGATTTCATCAAAGAGTTAAAAAGATTGAATGCTACTATTATATCAGTATACGGCGTTGTTCTATATTTGATTAATAGTAAGGGTTATTAATGAACGGTCGTTGTTAATAACTACCCTCGATGAATTGGAGATACTCCTCGATTGAGTATTCGAGAGGGGATAAGTTATAGATATAACAAGGATCGACTAAAATATATCAACAAGTGAAAAGTAGCAAAGCCAAGTCCTTTTTATCTTTGAATTAAATCTCATATAAGTCGTTCGTCTTAGTTTTTAATTTAATTAAATCATTCATCACCAAAAAACCCCTTTATTTACTAAGTTTCATAAAAAGAGAATTGTTCCTTTCCATGTGGATACGAACTCTACTTCACCTATACTACGTATAAGTGTTAGTATCGAATTATTTTGACACACCGTGACAAAGTGCTCGTCAGGTATTATTCAATTCCTAAATAAATAACTCTCATGAAATAAAAAATATTTTAGGTTTTAGCATTTATAAGCAAATACTTGTAAAAAAAATTAAGCAAATCGAAGGGACTGCATGATCGAAAAGTCTACATTAAACTAACCTTGTGCAATCAACCTAATTGAAAGTAACTAAACTAGGTTTACGTGTTCTGTATCATATGACTTTCATTAATATGCATAGTTATTGTATAAAATTTAGTACGCTTGATAATTGTATTGGGGCCCCAAAGAATGTGCATTATACAGTCTGTTGGATAATTGATACCCATATTGTATGAAAAGGAGAGATTGAACAAGAAAGAAGAAGAAGTAGTATTGTGTATGAATATTTGTTATGGTTTACAAGCCTCCTATAAGGAGTATATATAGGGAAAATCCGGGTCTGGGCCTCTAATATGGGCCTGACAGACCCGGTTACATAAATGGACTGATAGTACAAAAAGCTAATCTAGAACATCTGAATAATAATAATAATAATGTACAATAATATGAATGATAACCGCTAAACGTGTGTGGGCCGCTGTCCAGGCACAGTAGTCGGCAGACTGGGGGGTCGGAGTCCATATATTCCATCAGGAGTCCCCCACTCTCTGAGTCGAGAGTACTTGAGGCGAAAGGGAGTAGTCCAAACTGTATCTGCAACGTTCTTCTGTCTTCGATTTCTTCCTCTCCGGGCGGGGACCACCACCCTTGTCCATGATGGGGAGGTGCCTCGTTAAAAACCTTTATTAGGAAAAAACCCAGTGGGAAAAAATCCTAATAAAGGGAAAAAGAGTACACCTAGCGCCCCCAACATGAAACCAGGAAGGTAGGCCCTCTGCGGCATAATCACTTTTGTCTAGCTCAACCCGTCTTCATCCGACCCATATTTTGTTCCCGTTCATGCGTGATATTTTCTCCTCATCTAGAAACTCTGACCTCTCAGTCCCCCAGTCCCCACTCTTTGAGGCGAGTGGAGACAAGGTGAACATGAGTAAAGTCATCTTTGTACCTACACATTTATCATACATATAAAATTTTTTCTTGGGATTTATGTTTCCGATTGGGAGTTCGTCACTTTAAAAAAGTGGAAATGTGAATTGCCAATGTAATGATAAAATACTTAGTAGAGTGGATGTGTGAGCCATTCGTACACAACGGTCGCCATTCTTGGAATGACTAAGACCGGTCTTCATGCCCGACTTGGTCGGGGCTTTGTGCCTGACTTGGTCAGGGCTTTAAATCCTAGTGATGGGTCTCAAGTCACAGTCTACCAGGCATTTGATCATAAGTGCGTGATAGTGTGACATTCATTCGACAAAAATATTGATTAAAATAAAAATAAATAATATTAAAATTAAAGATACTTATCTTTTTGAAGTGGGCTGAAATATGTTGCTGAAATTGAGGCCCGTTGAAAAGTTTGATCCTAGCAAAATGCGGTCCAGCCCACAGTTGGTGTCAAAGGGTTTCTATTCTGCTAAGGTGTGAAATTTTACCCGCCTCCACACCTGTACAGCCTTGTTCTGCAAGTCTGCGACCAAGAGGAGCTCACGACTACTTAGCCAGGAGAACAGTCCAACAGCAACTGGGATGGTAACGGAGAAGCCCTCCCAGGCTGTACCAGGCGAAGCTTTCTCAGTCGGAGAGCGGTACGTTCCTCAGGCATGACACTGGCGGGGTTGGACAAAGGACATCGTTCTTGGTGCAGCAAACTACAAAGGGTGGCTCACAGTAGCTTCGGTTCAGACCTGGGAATGGGCTGTGAGCGGGGCAGCAAGCTTCTGCTGTAGCGCGTGGCTTCTGGTGTAGCTTGTGGTGGCGACCAGGGCGATGCCCTTTCCGGCGAAGAGCTTCTGTTTTTCATTCCCAGATCCCGTTTGTTACCTTTGGAGCTCCTGGCGGCCATTAATGGCGGTACTTGAGGTCCAAATCCGACAACTGAGTCAAACAACCATGAAGATGACAGTCGTGGATCTGACTCCAACCTTTGAGCTGCAATGGAGACCAGAGCCACAACCGAGCGGCCAGGAGTTGGGCGGCGCTGCGATTGAGGTGGGGGAACGGGGGTGCTGCATTTCGCTAGGTGGCGAGGTCGTCTAGCCAGCTTCAAGCTAAGGTGGAGGAGCGAGCTGCTATAACCGGTAGCTTCATCTGGCAGATTCCTCAGGCATAGCGTGTCGGCTGGGTCAAGGAGCGGACAGCCAGGGGAGGGACAACCTCTTGTTCACCAGTTGGGGTCGGATCTGGAACTCCCGCTGACTGTGAGCTGCTCCAAGCGACCGGTCAGTTCACATCTGGCCGGAAAACCTCAGATCCGGAAAAAAATTCTAGATTTCTTCCTTTTTGAATTTTCGAGAGCACTTTTTTGTTGATTCTTTATGATCCGGGTGAATTTTTGGTGTTTTTCGGGGAGGTTTTCTCACTTGATTGTGTTCAACCTCTCAACGAGAGCACCATTGTTGGATAATTGATACCCATATTGTATGAAAAGGAGAGATTCAACAGGAAAGAAGGAGAAGAAGTAGTATTATGTATGAATATTTGTTATGGTTTACAAGCCTCCTATA